GTCCCAGCTACTTGGGAGGCTGAGGCAGGAGACTCGCTTGAGCCCAGGAGTTGGAGGTTGCTATGAGCTGTGATGCCATGGCACTCTGCCCAGGGGGATAGCTTGAGGCTCCGTCTCAAAAAAAAAAAAAAAAAAAGACTTTTGAGAGCAAGTTTCTCTTTTATTTCAGTAAGAGCTTTCATTTAGAGAAAATCCAATCATCTGTTTGATTATAATTTTATATTTCCTGTATAGTTGTAAGTTTATGGATACAAATATAACTAATTTTCTTGAATTTTATATCTATGGTCTTCATATTTTAGGTTATGTTTAAGTAATTTTCACAAACAAAATTGGTAGGTTAATTTATTATGGAAGAACAGGAAATTGAATACAAACTCTTTCTAAAACCTTGTATTATTTTACACTGGTGACATTTCTTCTGGGTATAGGGTTTGCCTTAGTTCACACTAAGCTTTTAGTGAGACTGTTGACATTTTTAGCTAGTCTTGTAAGAATAAAGACTAGGAAGATCAGTCTTTCTTATATAGTAAAAAAAAGGATCAGAGCCTAATTGTATCTGTTTTTAACCCCAAAAGATAAAAACATTTTGTAAGGTGTGAAAAAAGATGGATCTAACTACTGTGTGATTCTGGGCAAGTCCCTTGACCATTCTGAGACTCAAAATATTTGTGAGCTGAATTATGTTTTGCTGTAGCTGAGGCCAGAGATTCAAATATCTTTCAAAAGTATTTTTAAAAAGTGATGGGATTTAGGGCGCCTGTGGCTCAAAGGAGTAGGACACTGGCCCCATATACTGAAGGTGGCGGGTTCAAACCCAGCCCCGGCCGAAAAAAGTAAAAAAAAATTTTTTTAAAGTGATAGGATTTGAACTAGAAAAACTGGATTTACAGAGAACTTTTCAGGGATATGTTTGTCACACAAAATATTTACAGTGAGTCCAGATAGTACTAAATAATTTAATTTTTTTAAGATTCGATTTTCAAAGTTTAATTCTGTTCTTTTAGGTCTTAGCTAAAGAAGATACTGATGCAGCTATTCAATCAATATTATACAGAGAAAATTATGTAATTAAGGTAAGAATTGGCTACAAGATACATCTCGATTAAAACTTGAATTTGGTGAGCCAGCGTGGTGGTGTGCACCTGTAATGTCAGCTACTCAGGAGGTTATAGTGGGAGAATTGCTTGAGACTGTAGTGAGCTATGAACACACTGATTATTATTCAGGTATACATAGGTAAGAACAAGGGTTAAACTGTAGCAGGATGAGCTTAATGAGATAAGAACAGCCATGTGAAGTATACTAAACACCAGAGTGGGTCATCTAGTTTTTTCTTATAAGACTTTTCATCAGAGTTGTTTTTTTTTTAAAGAAAAGGAACTACTATTGGAATGGTTGAAGTGTGCTATAACCTGAGTGCAGGTGGGGTGAGGCCTAGAGAACTCCTCAGGGTTCGTAACTTTTTTTTCAGTTTGAATTCCATGTATGTCCTAGTAATCACATGATTTCATTTGTTATATGAAAGGTGGATGAGAAGTTTGGGTGAGAACAAATTCGCGTATACCCTACTCAAGCTTCTTTGCAGGTTACTTGCCATTTGGACCAACGTACGTTATGTTTCTGCCTCGTTGTTCTTTTCTCTTTCTCCCATAGAACATTTTTCTTCCTCATTCTCTGCCATCCCTTCTCTTCCAGGATAACTTCTTATTCTTGAAGGCCCACCTCAAATGTTTCCCATTTGGGGAATCTTTTATTTTTTAATTTAAAAAATGGTGGTAAAATATAAAATGTGCATTTTAAGCATTTTAAGTGTACAATTCAGTGACATTAATTTTGACAATGTTTTCACAATGTTGTACAATGTCACCATTATTTCCAAAACTTCATCCCAGACTGAAACTTTGTATTCAGTAAGCAATGACTCCTCATTTCTTCCTCCCCCAAGTACCTCGCAACCTCTAATCTACTTTCTGTCTTTAATAATTTTGCTTGGCTCGGCGCCTGTGGCTCAAGCGGCTAAGGCGCCAGGCACATACACCTAAGGTGGCGGGTTTGAATCCCCAGCCCAGGCCGCCAAACAA